ACTGCACGTTGCCGCTCATCGTGACTATGAGTTGCACTCCCTCGACTTCAGCACAACTTTCTTGCAGGGCAGCCTGCACGAGGAGATCTGGCTGCGTCGCCCACCTGGCTTCACTGGGTTGTTCCCTCCTGGTACCCAGTGGAGCCTCCGGCGCCCAGTCTACGGTCTCCGCCAGGCGCCCCGTGAGTGGCAGGACACACTAAGGACTACTCTTGCGGCTCTTGGGTTTGCTCCTTCTACAGCCGACCCGTCGCTATTTCTGCGCACCGACACCTCTGTGCCGCCTTTCGACATCCTCGTGTACGTCGACGACTTGGTCTTTGCCACTGCTGACACTGCTGGACTTGCCTACGTGAAGTCCGAGCTGCAGAAGAGACACACGTGAACAGACCTGGGTGAACTGCGCAGCTACCTTGGCTTGCAGATCACCCGGGACAGAGCACGCCACACCATTACCCTGACTCAGTCACACATGGTGCAGCAGGTTCTTCAGCGCTTCGGCTTCACGTACTCCTCGCCTCAGGCCACTCCTCTGCCTACTCGCCACTCACTCTCAGCTCTGCCTTCGGATGAGTCCGTAGATTCGAGTGGCCCGTATCCAGAGCTTGTTGGCTGCCTCATGTACCTGATGACCTGCACACGACCTGACCTTGCATACCCTCTTAGCATTCTCGCACACTATGTTGCTCCTAGGAGACACCGACCAGAGCACATGGCTGTAGCGAAGAGGGTGTTGCGCTACTTGTGCAGCACGTGGGGCATGGGGCTAGTGCTTGGAGGGCACAGTCCAGTGGTCCTCACTGGGCAGGCAGACGCTTCTTGGGCTGACGACCAGGCTACACAGCGGTCGTCACAGGGTTACACCTTTAGCCTTGGTTCTGGCTCTGTCTCGTGGCGGGCTACTCGCTCGTCTTCTGTTCTCGGCTCCAGTTGTGAGGCTGAGATCTACGCTGGGGCCATGGCTGCACAGGAGCTTCGCTGGCTCACCTACCTGCTGACCGACCTTGGAGAGCCGCCTCGTTCTCCTCCAGTCCTGTACGTAGACAACAAGGCCATGCTGGCCTTGTGTCGAGAGCAGCGACTGGAGCACAGAACAAAGCACATTGCTCTCCGTTACTTCCTTGCTCGTGAGCTACAGCAGCGTGGTCAGTTGCGGCTTGCGTACGTGGCCTCTGAGGCCAACACTGCTGATGTCTTCACCAAGGCACTTGCGCCTTGTGATCATCAGCGCTTCTGCACCCAGCTGGGCCTTGTCTCTGTCCTGTCTCACTTGCTCACCTCTTGACCTTGCTTGTACTGTTACATATATATATACCTGCTCTTGCTTGTCTAGCTTTATATATATATGTACTCCTGCATGTGAACTGGCCTTGTGGCCTTGAAATTGTGCTCAGAATGTGTGGTGACATTGTGATCCACCCTGAGCTTTGCTTTGCTTTGCTTTGACTGGTCTTGTGACCCCTTGTTCTCCCCCACTTTGCCTATGGGGGTATGTCAGAACATTATAGCTTATGCTGTTGTGTAGGCTATAGTGGGGTATCCCATAGGGGGTACAACCCAATTAGGGTTTCCTATTTGTACTCACTTCATTCTTAGTTCATCCATTCTCGTTTCCGTTATTTCACAATATTTACCCTGCTTAAAACAGGGTATGAAATTTTTTACCCTAGGGGTCTGGTTAAGGTGGGGCTGGTACCCTGATTCGTAAGGGTAGGCCTAAACCATTTTTGGGCCCTGGTCTCAACCCATGCACAAGTTACCATCACACCCAGGAGGATGTAGGCGTGTACGTGAGCCTCCAAGGGTACGTTCATGAAGGGACATTTCTGTCACAATAGTTTGTGATGCGCAAGTACGGTACTGCATAGAAGGCACGTCACAAACGCGCGTCACCCTAAATGCGACTTACCGTACGAAGCGCCGAACTTTCCTTTGTGGGCTCACTACCGTAGATTACGTAGACTATCTTTCTACCTAATAGCCATGCGACAGGAATGTCTACCAACAAATGCTAAGGAAGAGCATGGTTCCCTTTAGGCGTAGGGAAAAACATTGAACGACCTAAATTTTATTGCATATTTGGATGGCCCTTGCATAATTACACCTACCAGAGCAATTCCAGCTTGGTTCGTGCGCACAACAAAGTTCGGCGCCTGCGACGACAGCAGTGTCTACCGACAAATGCTAAGGAAGCGCATGGATCCAAATAGGCGAAAGGAAATACGCCATTGCTGGCTTGGTAATTGGCCCAGAAAAGCGCAGCCACGTGACCCGTCGGAAGAAGAACGCTCGGAACGAGCGCTTTCAGCCCTAAAACGCGGAAGGATCCGCACATGAGTGCAACAGGCACTCTTCATTCGCGAGTGCGGATGAGCGATTATCCTCGCAACCCTCCCACGCCCTTGCTAGCTTGGTAATAGGCACAGACAAGCGCAGCCACGTGACCCGGCGGAAGAAAAACACTCGGAACAAGCGGTTTCATCCCCAAAACGCGGAAGGATCCGCACATGTATCGCGCGCTCTTCATTCGCGAGTGCCGATGACCGATGATGCTCGCAACCATCCCACGCCCTTTCTGACTTGGTATAGGCCCATACAAGCGCATCCACGTTACCCGGCGGAAGAATCCACACCCGAAACGCGGAAGGATCCGCAGATGCAGGAAATGCAGCGGGCGCTCTCCATTCGCGAGTGCCGATGACCGATGATGCTCGCAACAATTCAACGTCCTTGCTGGCTTGGTAATAGGCCCAGACAAACGCAACCACGTGACCTGGCGGAAGAAAAACACTCGGAACAAACGCTTCCAGTCCGCGGAAGGATCCGCACATGTGCAGGAAGTGCAGCGGGCGCACTTCATTCGCGAGCGCCGATGACCGATGATGCTTGCAACTCTCCCACGCCCTTGCTGTAGGCCCGGAAAAGTACACCCACGTGACTCGGCGGGAGAAAAACGCTCGGAACAAGTGCTTCCAGCCCCAAAACGCGGAAGGATTCGCACTTGTACAGGAAGTGCAACGGGCGCTCTTCATTCGCGAGCGCCGATGACCGATGATGCTCGCAACCCTCCCACGCCCTTGCTGACTTGGTAAAAGGATCAGAAAAGCGAGTCCACGTGACATGGAGGAAGAAAACCGCTCGGGACGAGCGCTTCGACCCTAAAAACGCGGAAGGATGAGCACATTTGCAAGAAGTGCAGCGGCGCTCTCCATTCGCAAGTGCTGATGACCCATGATGCCTGCAACCGTGCAACACCCTTGCTGGCTTGGTAATAGGCCCAGAAAAACGCAGCCATGTGACTCGGCAGAAGAAAAACGCTCGGAACGAGCGCTTCCAGCCCTAAAACGCGGAAGGATCTGCACATGTGCAGGAAGTGCAGCGGGCGCACTTCATTCGCGAGCGCCGATGACAGATGATGCTCACAACTCTCCCACGCCCTTCCTGGCTTGGAAAAAGGCCCAGATTTGCGCAGCCACATGACCTGGCAGGAGAAAAACGCTCGGAACAAGTGCTTCCAGCCCCAAAACACGGAAGGATTCCCACATGTGCAGGAAGTGCAACGGGCGCTCTTCATTCGTTAGCGCCGATGCCCGAATATGCTTGCAACCCTCCCACGCCCTTGGTGAATTGGTAAAAGGATCAGACAAGTGCAGCCATTTGACCTGGCGGAAGAAAAACGCTCAGAACGAGCGCTTCCACCCCCAAAACGCGGAAGGATCAGAACATTTGCAGGAAGTGCAGCGGGCGCTCTTCATTCACGAACGTCGATAACATAATGCTTGCAACCCTCCCACGCCCTTGCTCACTTGGTAATAGGACAAGACAAACGCAGCCACGTGACCCAGCTGAAGAAAAACGCTCGAAACGAGCGCTTCTACCCCCAAAACGCGGAAGGATTCGCACATGTGCAGGAAGTGTAGCGCGCGCTCTTCATTTGCGAACGCCGATGACCGATGATGCTCGAAACCCTCCCACGCCCTTGCTGGCTAGGTAATAGGACTAGCCAAGCGCAGCCACATGACCCGGCGGAAGAAAAACGCTCGGCGCTTCCATTCCCAAAACGTGGAAGGATCCGTACATGTTCAAATAGTGCAGTGGGCGCTCTTCATTCGCGAGCGCCGATGACCGATGATGCTTGCAACCCACCCACGCTCTTGCTGGCTTGGAAATAGGCCCAGACAAGCGCAGCCAGGTGACGCGGAAGAAGAAAACACTTTGAACGAGCGCTTCTAGCCCCAAAACGCGGAAGGGTCCGCACATGTTCAGGACGTGCAGCGGGGGCTCTTAATTCACGAGCGCCGATGACGGAAGATGCTCACAACCCTCCCACGCCCTTGCTGACTTGGTAATAGGCCCAGACAAGCTTAGCCACGTGACTTGACAGAAGAAAACGCTCATAACGAGCACTTCCGGCCCAAAAATACGGAAGGATCCGCACATGTGCAGGAAGTGCAGCGGTCGCTCTTCATTCACGATCGCTGATGACTGATGATGCTTGCAACCCTTCCACGCCATTGCTGGCTTGGTGATAGGCCCAGACAAGCGCAGCCTCATGACCCCGCAGAAGAAAAAGGCTCGGAACGAGCGCTTCCAGCCCCAAAATATGGAAGAATCCACACATGTGCAGGAAGTGTACCAGACGCTCTTCATTCATGATCACTGATGACCGATGATGCTTGCAACCCTCCCACGCTTTTGCTGGCTTGGTAATAGGACCAAACAAGCGCAGCCACGTGACACGGCAGAAGAAAAACGCTAGGAACGAGCGCTTCCAACCCCAAAACGCGGAAGGATCCGCACGTGTGCAGGAAGTGCAGCGGGCGCTCTTCATTCGCGAGCGCCAATGAGGGATGATGCTCGCAACCCTCCCATGCCCTGGCTGACTTGGTAGTAGGCCCAGACAAGCACAGCCAGGCGGAAGAATAACGCTCGGAACGAGTGCCCGTATCCCAAAAACGCGAAACGATCCGCACATGTGCAGGACGTGCAGCGGGCGCTGTTCAGTCGTGAGCGCCGATGACCGATGATGTTCGCAACCCTCCCACGCCCTTGCTGGCTTGGAAATAGGCCGAGACAAGTGCAGCCACATGACCCGGCGGAAGAAAAACGTTCGGAACGAGCGCCCTTACCCCCAAAACGCAGAAGGATCTGCACATGTGCCGGAAGTGCAGCGGTCGCCCTTCATTCGCGAGCGCCGATGACCGATGATGGTCGGAATCCTCCCACACCATTGTTGGCTTGGTAATAGGCACAATAAAGCGCAGCCACGTGACCCGGTCTCATCACACTTCTCCCTACTCTCATCACCCTTCTCTCTACTCTCATCACCCTTCTCCCTACTCTCATCACCCTTCTCCCTACTCTCATCACCCTTCTTCCTCCTCTCATCACCCTCCTCCCTACTCTCATCACCCTTCTCCCTACTCTCATCACCCTTCTCCCTACTCTCATCACCCTTCTCTCTACTCTCAAAACCCTTTTCCCTACTCTTGTCACCCTTCTCCCTACTCTCATCACCCTTCTCCCTACTCTCATCACCCTTCTCTGTACTCTCATCACCCTTCTCCCTAGTCTCATCACCCTTCTCCCTACTCTCATCACCCTTCTCCCTACTCTCATCAACCTTCTCCCTACTCTCATCACCCTTCTCCCTACTCTCATTACCCTTCTCCCTACTCTCATCACCCTTCTCCCTATTCTCATCACCCTTCTCCCTACTCTCATCACCCTTCTCCCTACTCTCATCACCCTTCTCCCTACTCTCATCACCCTTCTCCCTACTCTCATCACCCTTCTCCCTACTCTCATCACCCTTCTCTCTACTCTCATCACCCTTCTCCCTACTCTCATCACCCTTCTCCCTACTCTCATCACCCTTCTCTCTACTCTCATCACCCTTCTCCCTACTCTCATCACCCTTCTCCCTATTCTCATCACCCTTCTCCCTTCTCCCAACTCTCATCACCCTTCTCCCTACTCTCATCACCCTTCTCCCTACTCTCATCATCCTTCTCCCTACTCTCATCATACTTCTCCCTACTCTTATCACCTTTCTCCCTATCCCATCACCCTTCTCCTTAAAGTAGATGGCCTAATCTAGTGGACTGGCAAGAATATGGTACTAACTGCATCTCTACAAACATAAGTAATGCGCTGGTCGGTTTGGTCGGTATACACGCCTGTAGTGCAGGTACCATCAATGACTGGAATGCTTACATTTTGCGAATTACATAGATCCAAACGGTTAGAACCTGGTAGGGGGGTGGGGAATGGTATTGTTCACGGGAAATGTGAAAATAATATGGTATTCAATGCATTTATACGAAACAAATTATGTGTTGGTCGGTTCAGTCAGTATGCACGCTTGTGAGCAGGTATAAGGCGGAACCGGAGCTTTGAAATCTCTTGAATTAAGTGGATCTAAAAGGTTAGAACATAGTTTTGTTGGGGTAGGTGGCATAATCTAGTGGACCGGCAGGAAAATGATACTAACTGCATCTCTACAAACATAAGTAATGCGTTGGTCAGTTTGGTCGGTATGCGCGCCTGTAGTGCAGGTACCATGCACAGCTCGAATGCCTATATTTGGCAAATTACATAGATCCAAAATAATAGAACCTAGTAGGGGGGAGGGGAATGGTGTAATTCAAAGGAAAATCAAAAGATATATGGTATTCAGTGTAAATTTACAGAGCAAATGATGCGCGGGTCGGTTCGGTCAGTATGCATGCTTGTGTGCAGATACAAGGCGGAGTTGGATCTCTGAAATCTCACAAATTTTGTGGATCTAAAAGGTTAGAACCTAGCGTTGTTAAAGTAGATGGCCTAATCAAGTGGACTGGCAAGAATATGGTACTAACTGCATCTCTATAAACTTGAATAATGCGCAGGTCAGTTTGGTCGGTATGCACGCCTGTAGTGCAGGTATCATCCACGACTGGGATGCTTATATTTGGCAAATTACATATATCCAAAAGATTAGAACCTGGTAGGGGGATGGGAATCGTATTGTTCACAGGAAATGTGAAAAATATATGGTATCCAATACATCTATACGAAACAAATTATGCGTTGGTCGGTTCGGTCACTATGCAAGCTAGTGAGCAAGTACAAGGAGGAACTCGAGCTTTGAAATCTCTTAAATATGTGGATCTAAAAGGTTAAAACATAGTGTTGTCAAAGTAGATGGCCTAATCTAGTGGACTGGCAGGAAAATGATACTAACCGCATCTCTGCAAACATAAGTAATGCGTTGGTCGATTTGGTCGGTATGCGCGCCTGTAGTGCAGGTACCATGCACGACTCGAATGCCTATATTTGGCGAATTACATCGATCCAAAAGGTTAGAACCTAGTAGGTGTCAGAATGTTATCTTATGCTCTAGCCTGTAGTGGGGTGCTCTATAGCGAGTACAACCCTTCTAGGGTTTCCTATTTGTATCCCCATTCTTGCTAGTGCAGTCCTCTTCTTTCTTCTAAACTTTCACATGCTATCAGAGCAGGTCGATCCCCTTGGATCGATCCTGTGGGTGGGCTCACCACCTCGTTGCTTCCGCTGCAACTGCTACTGCTACTCGCTGTGCCGCACGCCCCGTGGCGTGCGGCAGTTTTTTCTTCCCACCGTGCGCCCCGAGGCGCGCGGCGGTTATCTGCCCGCCGTGCGCCCCGAGGCGCACGGCGGTTCTCTGCCCGCTGTGCGCCCCGAGGCGCGCGGCGGGCTTCTGCCCCGTCACTCGGCGCGTCGCCCTCGGGAGGCGCTGCGACGGGCGACGGGGACCCGCGCGTCGGCCCTGTCGCCGCCCGCATCGGCCCCGTCGCCGCCCGCAGCGACCCCGTCGCCGCGCGCAGCGGCCCTGTCACCGCCCGCAACGACCCCGTCCCCGCCCGCATCGGCCCCGTCGTCGCCGCCAGCGGCCCCGTCGCCGCCACTTGCGGCCTCGGCCCCGCCGCGGCCATGCATCGTCGTCAGCCGCGGCGCACCGGGGGCACGTGCACCCCCCCCCCCCCCCCCCCCCCTCTTTTCCCGTCGCCCGTCGCGGCTCCTTCGGGGGCTGCGACGGGAGGGGCAACGAGGGGGTGGGGGCGAGCGTCGCCCCTTCTGCCTCCTACGTTGGCGCCCAGGGAGGCCGCGCGTCGGCGCCCCCCCCCCCCCCCTCGTAACCTCCCTACCCGCCACCCCGCCCTGCCCAGTGTTAGGGTTTGGGGGTGGCGAGTAGGGGGTGGCGGGTGTGTGGTCTCTCTTGCTCCTCCTCCTCCTCTGTCTCCCACTGCTGCAGCTACCGCTGAGGGGGGGGGGTGTGTGGGAGTCGACGGAGTTGTGCTAGGGGGTGGGGTGTGAGTGACCCTAGTGGTGTAGCAGTGGGTGTGTGCCAGAGGGAGTGGGATAGTTTGGGGAAGCTGAATGGAGGTTGCCGTCGTGTCGCCAGCAGCACCTGTATTCCGGGGACTTCGTCCGGTAGCCCAGTCGTAGCCAGCTGTGCCAGCCGCCCGTGGGTCCGTTGCTCGTCTGCCGCTACTTTAGCCGCGGGGCCAGTTACTCCAGTATTCCGGAGCGTTGTTCTGGTAGCCGCTGTGCTAGTGTGCCTCCTGTTGCCCGTGTGTCTGCAGCTTCATCCGTCGCTTCCTATCTCCTATCCTCTCACTCTCTCTCCTCTTCACTTGCCCGTTGTGACTACCACTAGCTTTGCTCATAATTGTGAACTTTAACTATTGCTTCTTGAACTTGTGCTCAGAATGTGTGGTGACATTGTGATCCACCCTGAGCTTGTACTGCTTTGCTTGCTCTGCTGATTACACCCCACTTTGGCTATGGGGGTGTGTCAGAATGTTATCTTATGCTCTAGCCTGTAGTGGGGTGCTCTATAGCGAGTACAACCCTTCTAGGGTTTCATATTTGTATCCCCATTCTTGCTAGTGCAGTCCTCTTCTCTCTCCAAAACTTTCACAGTAGGGGGGTGGGGAAATGTATAATTAAAAGGAAAAGCAATAGATATATGGTATTCAGTATAGTTTTACGGAGAAAATGATGCGCGGGTCGGTTCGGTCAGTATGCACGCTTGTGTGTAGGTACAAGGCGGAGCTAGATCTAAACGGTTAGAACCCAGTGTTGTTAAAGAAGATGGCCTAATCTAGTGGACTGGTAGGAAAACAATACCAAAAACATCTCTACAAACATAAGTAATGCATTGGTCAGTTTGGTCGGTATGGACGCCTGTAGTGCAGGTACCATGCACGCATCGAATGCCTATGTTTGGCAAATTACATAGATCCAAAAGGTTAGAACCTAGTTTAGGGTTTAGGGCTTGGAATGGTATAAAGGAAAAGGAAAAGAAAAAAATATATGGTATTCAGTGTAGTTTTATGGAGAAAATGATGCGCGGGTCGGTTCGATCAGTATACACGCTTGCGTGTAGGTACAAGGCGCAGCTGGATCTCTGAAATCTCCCAAAATATGTGGATCTAAAAGGTTAGAACCTAGTGTCGCTAAAGTAGATGGCCTAATCAAGTGGACTGGCAAGAATAGGATACTAACTGCATCTCTACAAACATAAGTAACGCGCAGGTCAGTTTGGTCGGTGTGCACGCCTGTAGTGCAGGTATCATCCACGACTGGAATGCTTATATTTGGCGAATTACATAGATCCAAAAGGTTAGAACCTGGTAGGGGGGTGGGGAATGGTATTGTTCACAAGAAATGTGAAAAATATATGGTTTTCAATGCATTTATACGAAACAAATTATGTGTTGGTCGGTTCGGTCAGTATGCACGCTTGTGAGCAGGTACAAGGCGGAACCGGAGCTTTGAAATCTCTTAAATTATGTGGATCTTAAAGGTTAGAACATAGTGTTGTTGGGATAGGTGGCATAATCTAGTGGACCGGCAGGAAAATGATACTAACTGTCAGAATCCCAACCACTAGACCATTGGGATAAAAGGGCTTGTTTAAGTAGCGGGTCAGTGCGCCCATAACCCCCCAGGCCAACGTGCCTGTAACCCTTCCCTAGGATCAATCGGGGATCACCAGTGGACCTCTGATACCCCCCCGCACTGGGATGCTCGAAGTGCATACACCGTGATTCGAACCCGAGACCTTCGCTCTGATATCATGTAAGAATCCCAACCACTAGACCATTGGGATAAAAGGGCTTGTTTAAGTAGCGGGTCAGTGCGCCCATAACCCCCCAGGCAACCGGGCCTGTAAACCTTCCCTAGGATCAATCGGGGATCACCAGTGGACCTCTGATACTAACTATATCTCTACAAACATAAGTAATGCGTTGGTCAGTTTGGTCGGTATGCGCGCCTGTAGTGTAGGTACCATGCACAGCTCGAATGCCTATATTTGGCGAATTACATAGATCCAAAATGTTAGAACCTAGTAGGGGGGAGGTGTGAAAGTTAGAACGGGAATGAACGAACTATGAAAGAGTTGGGTACAAGTACTAACCCTAATTGGGTTGTACCCCTTATGGGCTACCCCACTACAGCCTACACAAACATATAAGCTATAATGTTCTGACACACCCCCATAGGCAAAGTGGGGGAGAACAAGGGGTCACAAGACCAATCAAGCAAAGCAAAGCAAGGCAAGCTCAGGGTGGATCACAAAGTCACCACACATTCCGAGCACAAGTTCAAGGCCACAGGGCCAGTTCACATGCAGGAGTACATAGATATATAAGGCTAAACAAGCAAGAGAAGGCATACATATATATACATATACGTAACAGTACAAGCAAGGTCAAGAGGTGAGCAAGTGAGGCAAGGCGGGCACAAGACCCAGCTGAGTACAGAAGCGCTGATGATCACAAGGCGCAAGGGCTTTGGTGAAAACATCAGCAGTGTTGGCCTCAGAGGCCCCGTACGCAAGCCGCAACTGACCACGCTGCTGAAGCTCACGAGCAAGGAAGTAGCAGAGAGCAATGTGCTTTTTTCTGTGCTCCAGTCTCTGCTCTCGACACAAGGCCAGCATGGCCTTGTTGTCGACGTACAGAACTGGAGGAGAACGAGGCGGCTCTCCGAGGTCAG